ACTGACCCCAAGATCCAAATGCCCTTTGTCAATTTTGTGGACGAGAATCTCGTGGTCTACAGATGTCATGCTGTAAAGGAAGAGGACCAGCCCAAGTGCATTTTGCGTGCCTGGTTGCAAATGAGTGAGAGTTCACGGAACACCTAGCAATAGTCTCTTACATGGGTGGGAACCAAACCAAATCTCCTTCGTACACATTCTGAGTTGTGAAGACAGAAGGCTGAAGCTCATCCACCCAAGCCCCCAGGTCATCCAATCCTAACAATTGTTTGATGCAGGACTACAGATTTCACATCGGGCCATGACTCATGACCCAATTACTCTAAGTGTTGAACAGGTCAGCCATAGGCTGTACATGATAGGCAATGGGTATGTCACGACCAGCATTGGATTGGGCTGGACTCAATGAAAATCCTCTTTATCCAAGGTACAGAGATTGTCGACGCCTCCGGCAACCTGTTAAAGTTGCCCACGCCACTCCCAAGGCCACTTGCTTTCACCTTTCAAGCCTGTGACACTTTTTGGTGATTGAACAGGAGTTTATTCAGGCATTTCAGCATTTCAACATTTCAGCATTTCAGGCTGCGTGTGGCAGTTTTAGATCAACTATTTTTGCAACCATACCGTACCATGTCATCAGAATAAATGGCATTTTGTGATCGTCAATAAGGTTTGAGTACAAGGGCCTCTATGTCGAGGAGGTCACTTGGCCTTCAATGTGCAGTGGAGTTGGGCCGCAGTTTGGTTCAGTGCTTCTTTTGATGCGCTAGGATGTGTGCGTGTGTGTGTGTGTTTGCATGTACTGTATATACCTGTGTGATTTGGGTTTTTTGCAGCCTAGGCTAGGCCTCTGTAGATTCTCTGCGCTGTGTTGTAGACTGTTATCGACAGTTATCGATTTCAAGCGTACCGGACTGTACTTGCTCATTGATATACTATATAATACTATATGATATGACTTGCTGATATGATATGATGATATTTTAATTCATATATCATATATCATATACTGTATACTGACTGTACTGATAGATATACTGTAGACTGTATACTAGACTGACTGGACTATATAGACTATACACTGGAACAAGGAAGCTGAGGTTTTCAAAGTCAATTTATTCTACAGTAAGAGATGCTGCTGCCTGTTTGATCAAAAGCTTCCGGTTTTCAGCTTTCAATATGGCTGAGTGCAGCTGAGTTCAAAGATCCCTCGCGCCAGCGCATGCCACCCTCCTTTATGCTCTGCCAGCCCAAGAAGCTCTTACCTGATCCAAAGTCCAAGCCCGCTCCACTGAAACGGAGCAGAGATCCAAAGCGTCGGTAGTCAGTAGTTGTGGCTACCTGGCTACCAAATTTTGTGGTTTGATTTGTTGCGACCACAGAGCACTGGCGCCACAAAGTGTTGTTTTGCAACCTCACCTCACTCACCCACGTTTCAGAAACTTGTAGCATGTCATTGTAGAGTCAGTCTCTGTTGCAAAGCGCCAGTGTCTTCAGGGGTTCAAGGGGATAGAAAGAGTCTGACTTTCACTGAGCCAGTCTTTTCTTAAAGGGGACTACCGACCGTATCAGCGATTTGAGTTGATACAAGATCGGAATCTGAGATTTAGATTTAGCTGTCATTGTCGTCATTAGATTAGTTGTTGACAGTGGTGACAGTCCAGCGGCAGGAAATGATAAAAAAAAGCACCTGTTTGCACACGTTATGCTGTACTGTATACTGCATCTTGTTTCCTGCGTACATACTGCTACAGCACTGCTACCGCTACAGCATACTGCACATGCAATCGTCATAGTGGCTTCATTTCCTGACCTTTGCAACCGCATTTTCACAAGTTGAAATTCTGCATTCATGTCAGGTGGGCCTGACCTGATTCCCGGTACACTGACAACCAGCCAGGCTGAGTCGTGGCTTTTCATAGGTCCTGGAGTCTGCAGACTTAGATAGACTGATAGACTTAGACTGTCTGATAGACTAGACTGACTGGTTTGATATAACTTTTGTAACTTTTATATTTTGTATCTGTATCTGTATACTGTATACTCTGTATACAGTATAATTTAATGGTATACAGTATGCGGTATACCGATACCGATGCCAATACCTAACAAAGACTATAACTAAACTTATAGACTCACCTGAAATCACCAGGTCTGCACCTTCAGCACATGGCCAGTTTGACACTGATTCATGGTTGACACACGAGCCACTGGCCTCAGAGCCGTGTTATTACATCACCCATGCATGCAGCCTAAGATAACGTATTTTCAGTTTGCACACTGTTCCCACTATTAGTGTTGCTGGAAAACAACACAGTTTTAGTTTTAGTGGCCAAGAAGTGCCGGGCCTGGTCAACTGCTGTGCCCATGCGAGAATAATTAGGGTCCGGTCCGGGTTTGCCAAATTGCCAGGGCCTGGACACTTCAAACTGTTTGAACAACAATTTGCCTGCTGTTGAATAAAAGCACGCTTGAAGCCTGCACATGTGCCCAAGCACTGCCCTGCTTTGGAGTCCGCTGCTTGAGGTTGAGGTCAGGTCAGGTTCCAAGAGTGTCTCCAATGCAGGGACCATTTTTGATCAGGCTGCTGACAGCAGCATCATTTCTTGCGAAAGCCGCTCCGCCCCTTGTGTTGGGGCCACCATGCCCAAGACCGCTGATGCTGATGCTCATCCATCCGATGGTGAGTCCGACATCGAGGACGATGGTAACAAGGGCGTCGATGATAATGATGGGAAAGAAGAGGAGGAAGACGAGTGCCAGTGCGACGGTTCGACAACATGTGCCCATTGTGAGCAAGAGTTTGGATCGCATGACAAGGACCGGATTTTTGATTAAGCCTGAAATCCAAGCCACCTTATGATTGGAACTAAGAGTTTACTATTGACTCATGATGACAACTCATGACTCATGGACCACGACCATGAACTTAGCCTCGTAACTTCATTGCATTTCAAAACTGCCGTTCTGTTTCTTTCATAGCTGCTCGCTTCTCTAGAATTAGCAGTTTTGATACAGAGTAACACACCCAATTCCTTTTAGATTTTTCACCCGTGCCCACCAGGACAAGCCCAAAGAGTACACTGAAGATCTGATTGTGCGCCCTTCCCGTGTAGGTGCTTCACTTTGCGGACCTTGCTTCTACGTTCTCCGAGGATCTTTCAGGGGAAGCTCACAGCTGGAAGTCACCACCGCCATACTTGCACATCCCAAGGTCAAATCAAAGCGTCTTGGCTTCGCTTTTTGCAAGTTCATTGATTTATGTTAATTCTGTTATGTCCTGTCATCCTGTTTCTTACTGTTCGAATGCTGGTGCAAAGCTATGTCAGCACACGTGATATGATCATCTTGGTAGTATTCATATTTTGTATCTCACACTGAGACATAGAGTCATACAGTCATAGAGTCACACATACATACTCAGTTCCTAATTTTTGAATCATATCACATCATATGAATCACTGAATCAGAATCACACATTTTTATCTGAGCTGCGATCGATCTATATTCTATACATCATTCCAACTCGTGCTCATATTGAGGCAACGCGAGCTCAGACGGAAAAAGGTTGGCAGCTTATGCCTGCACCCAAAGAAGAAGATTCGCCATGAACGTTGCAATCTATCAGAATTGGTGAAGAAGAGTGAAAGCTCTTACGTCGACTTTCAACAGGCGAGATATGGTCTGGTCATTTATGCTGCCAGAGTTGCCGGTTACTCATTGTGATTTTTTTTGTGGATTTATGACGACTCCTTCACTGATGATTGTTATTTTTCCGATTCTATAATGATTCTATGATAGGATTTGATATGAATGAACCGGTATGGTATTTCTCATGACTCATATGACTCATATGACTCTGACTCGACTCATATGACTCCACAGTGTGTGTTGGGCAGTGTGGCTCCGGTATTGAGAATTCGGACTTCGATTCACACTGTCTATATCCCACTTGCCCTGGCCATGATTGGCCCCTTTGCACCTTTGCAGTCAATCAGTCAACAGGCTACCTGGACTGTACTGTGCTGGTACTATAGACCAAAGCTATGACTAGGACTATACTGTACTGTATGCTGACTGTATACAGTATACAGACAGTACATACTTTACTGTACAACATACGCCGTGTTTCTTCAAATCATTTGCATGGATTTGCCAGGTCAATCGGTTGGTATCACTGGCAGACTTCATCGAGGGCTGCAAGAAGAAGCCCAAAAAGCAGCTCAAGACGGAGAAGGAGAGGAAGAAGTGGATTCGCGATAGCTTTCCTGATATGAAGTTTGTGAGACACCCAACCACCAAGGCTTGGGCCGTGCCAGTCGAGAAAGACATGTTGATGCTTGTTGGAGAGAAGACGTCTGCTACTCGCGAGAAGATCGAACATCACGAAACCAAAGAGGATGCAAAGGAGTCCTTGAAGCGTGGCAGGGACAGCATTCGTTTGGAGAGCAACCTGAAGGCCCTATGACTATAGTCTATAGTGACTAGACTTGTAGACTGTATATAGGCCTTACGACCTTATTACTACTATTACTTTCTATTGTCTATTACTAATTACTAATTACTACCTACCTTACTACTACTACTACTACTACTAACTACCTTATTTAGACTCTGACTATACTGACGACTGGACTATACAGTAACCTTACTATATCATAGAATCACGGCGCAAATACTCTTACTACAAGGACTACTACTGCTATACCATGACTAGTACTATTGCCAAGATCATTAACAAGTCAGTCTGACTGTGACTTTAGTGAACCAGCTGCCCCACTTTAATCGCCGTGGCCAAAGGCCCAAAACCAAAGATACCCAGAGCTGACTTAGGTGATACGATGAGCACGGATTATCACCGCCTCTCATTACTCTCACATCACATCACGTCACATACTCACCTTTGTGAAGGTTTATCCACTGCTGGGTGTAAGGTGTCGACTGCTGTACACTTGTGGAGTCTTGTATACTGTATACTGTATACTGCACTCCTTGCCCAGGCTGATGTTGCAAAAGCCTTGAACAAGGATGACGATTCCGTCGACGATGAGCCCGAGGATGAAGAGAACGACTCTGATGCTGAATCAACATCGAGCTTTGGGCTAGAACAGGATGACGAGGCTGCGAAGCCGGCCAAAAGACGAAGAACTAAAGAGACAACAGCAGCCAACACGAAGCCGACTGAAGCTGTTGCCAGGGTTCCCAAGCCTGAGATTCCAGGCAGCTCCACAAAAGATGATACTCCGAGGCCCAAGGTGAAGGCAAAGGCTTCTGCTGCTTCCGGCAAAGAGGAGAAGTTGACCAGGGCTCAGAAGGCAAAGCAAGATCGGGCTGATCGCTGCTATTCCACCGCCACCAAAGCCTTCACTGCGATCAAGGAAATCTCCACTGATATGGTCTGGAGGAGTGTGATTCGGACTGGTGAAGTGGAGCGAAGAGTTCAGAAGTGCTACCAGGCCCACGCTGAGCTAGAGGCTCAAGTGGCTGAAGGCCAGTTTGCTGGCAATGCCGAGGTGGCTGCTGTTTGCGAAGAGATGCCCAAGAGAGCTCTCTTGCTTACTCAGACCAAAGACTTGTGCAAGGGCATCCGCGGCTCAACTCCTGACAGCATGGCCAAGGACGTTGCAACTTGTGGAGAAGTGAGCACTCTTTTCCTGACTGTCTTCGGCAGTGTCGTGAGTGACATCCCGTCCACCAATGACATGTTGCAGACTGTCGCCAAGAAGTTGCACGCGGCCGCTCGGAATATGAAGACTTCTCCAGACTGAACTAAGCTGACTATCTCACTATCCTAATTGCCGTTCAGTTCATTGGAATCTGTTTTAAAATTGTAACTGTATCAATATCAGTTTATCTTAGATAACCATAGCCAGACTCATAGTCAGAGTCATAGCCAAAGTTATCATAAATCAATCATTAAATCATAACATAATCATAAATCCTGAATCATAATTAAATCCTGAAATTCCCTTCTTGGTCCGGAGTCCAAATTTGCTAAGGCAGAAGATCACTTGTTCATCAAGTTCTTGAGGCTGATGCCGCCACCTGTTGGTGATGACGCTGGCTTTTCTTTGTACAAGCTTGGAAAAACTATGGAGGTTAACACCACGGAGGAAAGTGAGGACCACCCGTACTTGTGGGCGTATCTCCTCAAGCTTCAGCTTTTGTGCATGAATGACTTCTATGAGAAGCTTCGCCTTCCAACAGCCCCTTCTGTTTGCGACAAAGCGCTCCCTTTGCTTTTGCAGGCCAAAAGCTTGGACCAAGCCCAATGGTTCCTTGTCATCGATTCCGACTTACTTTGGACTGGGCTAGGCTGACTAGGCCCTATAGGCTTTTTGATTTCTGACTAGACTGGACTGAGCTGGACTAGACTGACTGACTACTACTACTGACTAATATTCTTGGCAAACAATGGTGTTGCTCTTGCATTGCTATCGCAACATCCGTAATACAGTAACAGGTTGCAGATCCGTTTTCCATTCAACTGCCAATTGTATTACAATGTACTGTACAGTTGACATTGCTTAAATCATATTTTGTAATTAAACTATTCTATTGCCTATAGCCTATAGCCTATAGCCGTCTATTATTTATAGTTATATATTATTATTGGGAAATTGTCATTGTCCAGTAGCTAAGCTATTCTTTGCCGGCCTCAATTCCCAAATTTGTTGAGGCTTCCAGCATCGGACATGGTGCCTGCAGACGTTGACTTCCATAGCCTTCCCAATGGAACAGGATTTCAAGGACAAGTGATGATTGACCTCCAACGCATCCTGGCCTGCCTTCAGATCTACAACAAGAAGCCAGAGCCACGTTTCCTTTCCATGGTGAGTCGCGAGACTAGCTTTTCCAGTAAGATGGTCATGGCTATGAATGCCCAGTCTGAGTGGAGGCTGGGACAGCCACGATATGTGTTATCAGTTAAACGTTCATCATTGATCATTTCAATCATCATTTATGATTCATGATTATTAAGTCTGTTCCCTTCTGAATATTCACGATTCATACTGTATTTTGGATCATGAAACTGTGTTTTGGTGCTTGCAATGTTTGTGCGCACGTCACCTGTATCACATGACACCATTGTTGAAACACCCGCCATCTCATCCCAATCCAGATTTGAGTGCTGTGTTTTTCCGAGTCATTCCATTTGTCTATATTGGTGCTGCAGGTCGTAGATGCAGCTGCTGTTCACCCAACCTTTCTAAGACCTTCCCTGCCCAGGCTTTTGTGGAGTCAAGTTTTGGCAGAGTCCAAAGCCTTTGCTGAGCGGACCATCCCAACCCTTGATTTGGTCTCTTTCGGCAAGCTTTGCGGGGATGTGACTAGTTTGGAGAAGCTCGCGGATGATAGCACCTATTCTGAGGATCAGCAAAAGTCCATCAGGGACCTTACCAAGATGCTGGCTAGTTGCTCAGACGAGGACTCTTTGTTTGAGGAAGATGCTAATTCCAAGGCCAAGTTCTTCCAGTACATTCGGGAGGTGTCCACTTGGTTCAAGGACTTCAGGCCTCCTGTTGAAAGGGTCCTTCAGCCACTGGGAACCGTGCTCTCACCAAGCCTCTTGGAGTTGGAAGGCATCACCGACCTCGCGGAGTGCTTCCCGCCAGGTGCTTTGAAACTGGCCTCAAACATCGACAGCGTCTTCATGCTCCAATGCACCTTGACCTTGATTCCGGATTCCTTGATACCTTGATGACTGTTTCAATTTCGGGCTGACGTACTAGTACTTAGTACTCACTTGACTCACTTATTATATTTGACTAACTGACAGATCTTCATTTTATTAAACTGTTGCCCAACGTTGCTCCAGTGCAGTGTAAATGAAAGTTGTTTGCTTCTTCACTGTGAGTCTGCGAGTGGAGAATTTATTGGTTACCAGCCTGTCACATTCCACATGCCCATTCCCAGCTGAGTCGTGAGGTGAGATGCAGTTGGCTATGGAAGCCATTGCTTCTACCGGCGTTGAGCCGATCTTTGGCCTGGAGTCCTTCCTCAAGTGCTGTGAGCTGACGCGCCATCAGCCTGCTGGAGCCACAGACCTAGATGAGACAGACCTTGACATGACTGGGAAGCACTTGCTGCTGCTCATGAGCTTTGTGCGTGGTGCCACGGCTGTTTTCGACAAAGTCTTGAAGGATGTGGACAGCGAAGACTTGCAGAAACCTGGTAATGATAATGCAGCGTCACGTTTCCTTTCAAATCATCATCAAATCATATCATACTGTACGTGTATCGAATTTGAATTCGTGTTATGTTTTTTTGCTTATCATGAATCCTGAATCCTCTCACTTGACTGTTTGCTATTTACTGTTCACCCCGTTGAAGCTAGGTCTGAGACTGTTTCTCAATAGACTTCACTCAGCGATAAGACTGCCATTGAGGAATGGAATGATGCCAGCGATTTCGCAGTTCAAGAAACACATCTCTTGGGTGGAGAGGGTGTGCAATGCCAAAGGTTTGGAGCTCATCGTCAACTATCCCGCTGGCCCACCTTCATCAGAAGCTTGGGACTACGAACGCATGGTGACCAGCGAGTTCCACTCTTTGGCAGCTTCTTTGCAGGCAGCAGGGCTAGGTAGAATTCATACGATTCATACTGTATACTGGATTTGTGATAGGGTTGGATTCGAGATTTCTTTGCACCAGCCAGGTCAAAGAACAGTGGGCAGGATTGACTTAGGAATCAAAGAAAATACCTTTTTAGACGTTTGGACCTTGTTGCTTCAGGCTTTTTTGTCAATTACAGGACTCCAGGACTCACGATTCTGGGACCCTGGAATCCATCAACATCCATTGACGACCGACTGACTACAGACTATAGCTAGAGTCATACATACAGGTACAAATACAATTTACAGGACCAGGATACTGCACATTGAATACTGTGCTTGCATGAGACAAATGGGATCAATGATCAATGGGACAAATATGATATGATGTAATGTAAGTTAGTTCTTTATTGTGTGGCATTAGCTGTGGCATTGTTCAGTGGCTGTACTAAATTGTTTTCAGGTTTGGGTTGGGAATTTGCCTGGTCAGGCCATCGGCGATGTGCCAAAGGCGGTCCAGATCCTGAAGGATTCCTGCAAATCCGAGAGCATCGACCTTGAAGACATTGTCAAGAGCATCTCCAATTTTGAGTCCATTGGGTCCGCTCTCAACAATGACTTCATCCAAAAGAATACCTTTTTCCAGTCTCTTGCGGAAAGCTTCACGGAGTTCAGGGGAGCGTTCCTGGATTCAGTCAAGGTGGCCGTGAA